GGGCCACTTCCGAGCCTGTTTCTCTGTCTCCAAGCAGGGCCCAAACTGCTGATTTGGGAGCTGGCTTCTCCTCCATGATGTGTCAGGACGGACGGACCGATGTGGTAACATGCACCAAACGTTCTACGCAGTTCTGACCACACTGAGCACCCAGCAAATGTGCATTGCTAGGGGCCAGGGGCCCCGTGCTGTGTCCGGCCTCACCTTTCTCCGAGGGGGGCTGGAGGATAAGCGTGTAGGCCTTTTCAATGAAGTGCAGCTCCTCAGCCACGTGGCAGGCGGTGAGTGGGTTGTCACCTGTGATCATGACCACCTTAGGGGGAGAGGAGTGGAGGCTGGGCAGGGTGGGTCTGGAGGGGCAGACACCCCTTCCTGGACGCCTGGCCTTTACAGCTCCTTCTAAGGCAGACTGTGGAGAGACTCAAACCCTCTAAGGGAGACCCCAGATGGTTTCCGGCCACAGCCCCCTGCCCAGGCTGGCTGGGCCACACGTACGAGACGTGTATGTGTATCCTTTGTAGAACGCCTGTGATGGGGAACTGAACCCAGGGCCTCCTATGTGGTCAGTGTGTGCCCTACTGCTACGCCACACCTCCAGCCCCTCCACAGCTTTTATCTGTGATACAAACTAAGAACTCATCCCTGGGCTGATGGAGTGGCTCAAGTAGTAGAGTGCCTGCTTAGCAAGTGTGAACCCGAGTTCAAGCCCCAGTAATATCCCCCCATCCCCCCACCAATAACCCCCCCCAAAAATACCTTATTAAATAAAAAACAAAAATCGCCCCCCAAACCTTGCCCCTGATGTGTTTCTTCTTGACCTGGTTACCTGTCTGTGTGGAAACCATTCTGGTAACAGGAAGGAGGATGAGCTGTGACCTGAGGGCCTGGTAGGGACTACTCAGGCTATCTGTGTTCCTTGCTGACACCAATCTCAGAGACTTCTCACCTCTCCCCATACCCTACAATGCATCCTGTGCCCTGAAGTACAAAACACTGAGTCCCAGAAACAGACAAAACCCAGCAGAAGACAGATGCTGGCTGTGGGGTGCTGTCTCCACCTCCCTCTGCTCCCCGTCTGTTTCCTTCTCTCTGGGATGAGGATGGGCTGAGGGAACTGCCCTGCCTCCCAGAGCGTCCTCTGCCCTTGGGACAGCTGCCCTTGGCAAGAACCTGTGGTCTCCTTGCTGTGGAGACCCCAGGGTTGGCACTGTCTTCTGTGGTCACCTCCCCGCCCGTACCCGGTGGGATGCATTCTGGATCTCTCGGATCACAGCCTTGGAATCGGCCTTGAGTGGGCAGGAGACCACGATGAAGCCGGCGAACTTGAGGTTGCACTCTAGCGCTTCCCGCTTGACCTCCCGGGCCTGTGGACAGGTGGGTAGGTCTCACCATACATCTCTCACACCAGGCTCCCTCTCACTGGAGCCCGCGGATGGGGCTGGGTGTGGGGAAAGGAAGGAAAGGCAGGCAGGGGAAAGGCTGAGGGGCGGGCTCAGCAGAGTCCGAGTGGTCCAGGCCCGATCTGTGCCTCTGCCTTCTGGTAGTGCACGTGTGGCTCAGCTTCTGAGTGGACAGTGTCAGGGACAGCCACTCTGAGGGGGTGGGGTGGGGTCGGGGACAGAGGCTGGAGTGCTAGGGAGCAGTGACTGCAGGCACAGGAGGGAGGCAGGGGCTGTGAAATGGATAACAAGGGCTGGTGGCGAGCCTCAGCCTGTGCTTGGGTTCTGAACTGGGGCTGTGACCTGACACTAAGTTCTAGAAGGATCTTGTGGCTGTGGGCTATGAGCAGACTGGACCAGGGCCAAGCCAGGAGCAGGGAAAGGGACAGATGCATCGGAAGGGAAGGCGGATGGAGTTTGTGAATGAAGTAGGCTGAGAATTACGGGTACTGCTAAGGCCTCTTGGGGACCATGTGAGTAGGGAGGGAGCTGTGGCCAGGGGATCTGAGATGACTCCTGGACATGCCAGAGGAGGACAGCAGATTAGACCGACTTTCTCAACGGGGGCACTGAGTGCCTGCCGGGGCCTACAAAGGCAGAAGCTGGAGTGGGGTGATGACAGTATGCCTGGGCCCCTACCTGCTGATGGGTGAGGTGGCCCAGCTCCTTGTACCCCAGCGCCAGGACGCGGGCTCCTTCCCTGGAGATCTCGGTGTGGATGTGGTGGTAGTCAGGTGGGCACTGGGAAAACTGTGGGGAAGGCAGGGGAACGTCACCGGCTGCCCCACCCTTCCTGCCCCGCCTCCCCCAGGGCCAGGCCGCTCACCATGGAGTGCAGGGTCTCAGGGGCCCCCTTCACGGCTGCGATGTAGCAGAGGTCTGTGGAGCCCAGCTTCTCGTAGGAGGCGAGCACGGACATTCGCTTTAGGGCACTGGCAAAATGAAAGCGCTGGTGAATTTTCAGCCCCTGAGTTTTAATACTTCGGGGGAATACTTTCTCATCTGGAAACAAATAAGTACGAGTCCTGAGGGGCTTCGCTCCGAAGAGGCAGCCAAGCCCCCGCCTCTCCCCCAGCCTCCCTGTCTCCCTCAGAGCCCTGCTGGCGGCTCCAGGGGGCTCAGAAGACCCCAGCCTGGAGGCTTCAGCCAGGGCAGGCTGGATGGCACCCCAGAGGGACACCTGAGGACCTTAGCTGTCCCGATTCTGAGGCCGTCCGGTGCCCACTTGTCTGGGGAACGTCACAGCTGTGACAGAGCTGACTGGCGCCGGGCCTGAGTGCTGGCCCCTCACCTTTGGTCAGCGTCCAGTCCACGGCTGTCAGCATGGCTTTCTCTAGGGGGTCACCCACAAGGGTGCCGTCATCAAGCTGCACAAGTGAGTGGCAGGAGGCCAGGGCACGGTGTGTTTCGATGGGGATATTAGTCACGGGAGTCACCTCCTTCCCATCTCTGCAAGGACGAGGGACAGATGGTTACAGGGTGGAAAGGCTCCTGTGCCAGGATGGACCCCCCCAGAGCACCTGGGGTACATCAGGTGGTGAGGATGCCTTGCTGATGAGGCTGGGTCCTCTGGGATCCATAATGGCCACTGGGATGGCCTCAGAGGCCACACAGTGTGCACGCGGCCACCACATGGGTGATGGAGAATGGGGGAAGGGGACACCTTGAACCGAGTCCCCATGTGGCTGCTGCTCACACTGAGGCCCGAGTGGGGAACCCTAGTAACTGGACCTGAGGCAGGGCCTCTGGCGGTCTTTACTTTGGGTGCTTGAGACGAGCTCAGGTCTATCCCGACCTCCCAGAAACTCTCTGCTGGGCATCTCTGAGGCCCAGGGCCCCTGGACTCACTTCAGCCCAGCTACGCCGCGCACCACCAGGCTGTCACTGGTCAAGGTCCCCGTCTTGTCAAAGCAGCACACCTCGACCTTGCCCGCGAAGGGGATGCGGAAGGGCTCCGTGCAGTACATGTCTGGGGGTCAGGAGCGGGGTCAGGTGTGCCTTGGGGCTCCAGCCCACCTGGTGCTCTAGCCCCGCCCGTCACACTCACAGAGCTTGGCCAGGGCGATGAGGGAGGTGTTGACGGCTAGGGACAGCTCGATGGGCAGCTCGGGGGGCACGACCGATGTGAGGATCAGGGTGCACTCCAGGAAGAGTTTGTAGCGGTTCCGGCTGGGGTCCTTGGTGCCTGTGGAGACAGGACCTTCCAGCCTGGGGGCCAGAAGCAGAGTGGCGGCAAAGGCCTGGGGTCACGACGTACCTTCAATCCACACGTAGGCTGCGGCTGCGATGGCGAAGACCAGGAGAAAGAGGATGAAGATAAAGGTCTCCAGGTTATTTGCTGTCACCCTCTTGACCCCAAAGAGGATGGTGCGTAACAGCCTGCCCTAGAAGGAAAAGAGGGACAGAGGCCTTTCCTGAGGGGAGGCCTGTGGGGGATGGCAGCCTGCTCGTCTGCCTGGAGCCCCTGAGCAAGACAGACAGAGCTCACATACGGCGCCACGGACGTTCTGGATTCTGCAAGGCCAGCGTTTCAATGGTCCACCCCTGCCCCTAGCCCCAGTTAAGGTCCCGCACCTGAGAAGTGTTGAATCCAGTCCGCAGAACGTAGGCTACACACCCGTTGTCAACCGCTAGGGAGACAAACAGAGCTGCTATCACTTGACCCCCTGGTTTCCACTCCCTCGTGTGTGTGTGTGTGTGTGTGTGTGTGTGTGTGTGTGTGTGTGTGTGTGTATGTGTGGGGTGTACGTGTGTGTGTGGTGTACGTGTGTGTGTACGTGTGGGGTGTACATGTGGGGTGTACGTGTGTGCACGTGTGTGGTGTACGTGTGTGTACGTGTGTGGTGTACGTTTGTGTACGTGTGTGGTGTACGTGTGTGTACGTGTGTGGTGTACGTGTGTGTGGGGTGTACATGTGTGTACGTGTGGGGTGTAAGTGTGTGTGTACATGTGGGGTGTACGTGTGGGGTGTACGTGTGTGTACCTGTGTGGGTGTACGTGTGTGTGTACGTGTGGGGTGTACGTGTGGGTGTGTGTAGGTGTATCTGCACCGACCCCCAGACACCCTCAAGGCACCTACGCTTCAGGCCCGTGGTGGCCTTCTGGGGTGGGATGTGCTGCACCACCTTGGTGCCACCGAAGATGACGTGGAGCCGGGAGTCGGCCTGGAGGTCCAGCACCCGGTCTGGGCTCAGGTCTTCAATTGGCTCCTGGTGAGGAAGATGGTAGGTCTGGATGGCCAACCCCACCTCAGCCTCCTTCTGGTCCTGGAGCTGGGATGAGCCAGGCTGACTCTGTGGGGATTCCTACCTTTGGCAAGGCAGCAGAACCCATCCCATGTCTTCCTCCCCTACACCTGCAGCCCTGAGCTCTCACCACTCACTCGCACTTCCTGGTTTCTCAGCCCACCTCCGCCTGACACACCCACCTCAGTCTCACTTTCTTTTTCTCTCATGTACTGCTGGCTTGTCCACTGGCTCCTCCTGGCTGGCTTCCTCCTTCATGACCCAGCCAGCGACAGGCCTGAGCGTACCCAGGTTCCCTGCCCATCACCCTTGTCTGCTGCTCGGACTCCCCTGTGAACACGCCTCCCCGTCCCCGTCACCTTCATCTGCGGCACTGACTCCCCAGTGAGCATGGCCTCATCCACGATGCAGCGGCCTCGAAGCAGTAGCACATCGCACGGCACCAGGTTCTCCTGGGGGGAGCGGCCTGCAGGGCAGGAGCAGGAGCAGTAGAGTCGGCCCTCGGCCCTGAGGCGAGATCCCCACCCGACCAGAGTGAGTGGGACTGGCCTTACCGATGGAGACGATGTCCCCAGGAACAATCTCATCGCTGGCAATGGGCCTCCACTTGCGGCTGCGGTAGACCTGGGGGCAGGGTGGGGCAGGGGTCAGCACAGGCGGTGGCAGTGGCTGGGGGAGGGGCGGGGAGTGGGCAGCCACAGGCCTTGCGCAGGCGCACCTGGATCATATGGGGCTTGTTGCCCATCTTGCGAATCTCCGACATGTTACGCATCTGCTGCTGCACCAGGGACGCCTCAAAGGCCACGAGCATGGACAGGGTGAAGACGCTGTAGTACCAGTACTCGTCCAGACACCAGAGCCCCACACAGAACACCTGTGGATGCCCAGCTGGTGTGTCAGCACCCACCCGCCCTGTCCTTACCCCGGGAGTCCCACATGGACATCTGGTCTGTCCGTGCCCACTCGTCCTGCCCCTAGAAGCCCCATGCAGATGTCTGTCTACACCCATCCAACCTGTCCTGTCCCCAGGAGACCCACACTGACACCTGCAGGACAGTCTCCACCTCCAGGGTCGGGCTTGGACCCAAGAGGACAGGAAGAGGCCTCTGGGTCGGAGATGGCAGACAGGTGCGCTCTGGCTATGAAATCCCAAGGAATGGGACAGGGGACAAGGTTTGGTGCTGCTTCTTTACCTGAAACACGAAGAAGGGCGCCGTGGCTCTCTCCTTGAATAGTTCAGAGAAGTCAGGCACCACCATCTCTGCCCTGCAAGAGAGCACAGCCCCCATGTTCCTGGTCCACGGTCTAGGTGCAGAGGTGTTGGGGTCACTGCAGGCTTCCCACAGAAGTGAGGGACTATGTGTGGCCACCAGAGGCCCCAGCAAACTTTGTACGCAGCCCTGCTCTGCAGTCTATATGAGCCTCAGGGATCGGCAATGGGCCTTCCCAGCAGTTGCACCGAGAGGGCAGTGCAAGGTGAGACCCCCGCGCTCTGGTCAGGGGACATGGAGAATAGCGAAGGAGCACCAGGTTGAAGGAGGGGCGTCCTGAAGGCCAGGCACGGGCTGTAGACTTCCCACGGGCCCTAAAATACACACGTGAGCTCTGCCTCCACTGGAAGAGGGATTTTCTAGAAACATGCTCAATCAAAGTCCCAGACTCATGGAGTCTGAGGTTATGGTTTTGTAGCAGCATGTGGGCGGCCCAGTCTAAGGGACCAGCCATCCAGGGCTGTCCTCGCAGCCTTGAAACAAAGGGTGATTCCCAGACATCATGAGATGTGAGATGGGGAAACCCCCAAATGATCTCACTGCTGTAAAAACAACCCTTTAAGTGCCTTTGTGTGAGAATGGTGTGGAAGAGAGGGTCTGTCCCAGGCCACCAGGGTGGCTGACCTCAGGAGGAGGGCTTGCACCGGTTTCTCAAGAATCTCTGTATTACACGGGCAGTGGTGGCCAATGCCTTCAGAATTTCCTGAGAAGCAGCCGGGTCAGGAAAGACTCCCTCAGGGGGCTGGAGTGCGGCTTGGTAGTAGGGCGCCTATCTAGCAAATGCAAGGTCCTGGGTCCGTCCCTAGCATGTCCCTTCAGTGTTATGCATGTTTCCAGGTGGAGGACCACTGGTCCAGTGGTCATGACGGGGCTGAAGCACTGCCTGGGCCCACCTGTCCTGGCTGTGGGTCTGGCACACGAGGCTTTGGTGAAGATGGAAGGAGAAAGCAGGTAGGGAGCAGACTACAAAAGAAGAGTTTTCGCCACTGCCAATATCCTTCCCTTTTTTGGTACTGGGGATGGAGCCCAGGGTCTCTGCAGGATGAGCACGTGCTCTGCACCGAGATGGCCTCAGGCCTACCAGTGACTTTTTCTCCCCATTCCTAAAGTGCCAAGAAACCTATGAGCAGAACAGCCAGGGCAGAGGTTTCAAGAGAAGTTAACATGAACAGGGCACAGGCAAGATCAGCAGCAAACAGGGACAAACTCTCACTGTCACTGAGAACGCGCTGCGGGCCAGGTTCCCTGAAAAGCCATACTCTGTCACAAACCATGGGGCCCTCTGGGGGGCTCCTGTCAGTGGACGAGCTCGGCAGAAGCCATGGGAGGGCATGTTTCTGAAACGGGGCCACGCTTGCCTGCCCCACCTGGCTAAAGAGTGGGCTCTTCTGTCCTTTCTCCTGGCACTAGGGATCAGAAGAGCAGGGTGGAAATGGCGGGGGGGGGGGGGGAGTCACTGGGAAGCCGGAGACTCACTTGTTGCTCCCAAATTTCTTCTCTGCTGCTCGGATCTCCGCCTCTTCCTGGAACCCTCTGTTGCTCTGATAGTAGGAGAAGGTGTTTCCCACGGGAAAGGCCACGGGGAGGAACTGCTTTTTCTCAAGGGCATCATAGGAATACTTGATCTTCTGGAACTCGAAGGATAGAACCTCGAGCCCGTCTTCACCCTATGGCAGAGGCCTGTTTATAGCAGAGGCCCCAAACCTAGGGGCATCAGTGCCCTAGAACCCTACCCAAGTCCCATTCTGGGTGGTCCGGCAGGTGATTCCTACCTCGTCGCGGTGCAAGGCCACGAGCTCGGTGGAGCCGTTGTTGGGGGTAGGCACAACCTTCACGAAGGTCGCTTTGCTGGGGTTGTACTCCTGCCAGAGGCAAAGCGTCACCACTGGGCCCTTTTCAACCCATGGGGTAAGGGGGTGGGCAGTGGCTCCACAGGCGTGTTCCTGACACACCACTGGGCTCTGGACTTGGCTTGCTCGCTCCCTAGCTGTCACTGGGACAAGGACACCACCTTGCTGTGCCTCTGTGTCACGGATGGTACTCAACACCCAGGGATCTGGTGATAAGAACTCGAGTGGGAAGAACGATTCCAGACACCCACTATCACTCTGCTGAGCCTCCTAGCTCCTTCACTATATTCACTATCACTCAACACACAAGGCAGGGCCATGTCTCATTTGTGCCATTTGCTGTCTGGAAAACACAGCCATATAGCCAGCTCCCTTGATGCCTTTTGCTTAAATGTTACCTTCTCAGGAGCCCTTCCCTGCTGCCCCATCTATGGTTCCCTGGCAAGTCCCCATTCTGTCTCAACGTTATCTTCTCTAGCATCAACTGCTAAGCATGAGTTCTTCTCCCACAGACCGCCACAAAATAGTAGGTTTTGAGTGGGGCGCCAATGGCTCACACCTGTAATTCTAGCTACTCAGGAGGCAGAGTCAGGAGGATAGTGGTTTGATGCCAGCCTGGGCAAATAGTTCGCAATTCACTATCTTAAAAAAACCCATCACAAGAAGGGCTGGTGGAGTGGCTCAGGGTGTAGGCCCTGAGTTCAAGCCTCAGTACTGCAAAAAACAAACAAACAAAAAACCCCAACCCCCCCAAACCCCATAGGTTTTGTAGGTTGTTCATTGCTCTTTTCCTGAGACACAGGACATGCTACGGGAGCCGTATGTGTCCCGTAGCTGCTCTACAAGACCCTGTAATGACTGGGAGGGGTGGGGAGCACCTTCTAACAAAGTGCCACCCCTGGGGGAGTGTGTGGATCACTGAGTCAGCAGCATATATACAACTCTGAACCTGGGCCACAGAAGAAAAGTATAAGGTCCTCCACGGGGCCGGACCCATGGCAGGCACTTGGCAGATGTCACCTCAGCTTCTCACAATACCACCAGAAGGTAGGTGCCACAGTTCTTACTTTACACAATGGGGAAATGGAAACTCAGAGGGAGACAAACACCAGTCTGAGATGTGAGGCAAACCCAGACCTGCCTCTCCTAACCCTGTAAGCACTCAGGCCTTCCCACCTCTCCATCCCTGCAGAGGAAAGTTAGTTGCAAGACCAAGAGGCAGATGAAAGGGCGGGGCAGGGTGTACGCTCCCCCCAACTCCCCTTCTTTTGTTTGTTCCTTACTGAAGTCTTTCTTTGTACCAACCAAAGCCACCCAAGCCCAGAAGTCTGAGTCCCTCTCCTGGGATCAATCTTATAAAACAGAAGGAAGAAGGGGTCCCCTCTCTGTGAAGAAAGAACTTAATGCATAGCTGGGGGTTGGGGGCTGCACCTTCCTGCTGTCCACTTTCCATCTTCTGAAAGTCAACTCACACCTGGGAGGCTGGCAGGAGGCAGACCTCAGTGCCCAAGGCTCCAAACTTGGTGTCACTGAGGCAGGCCCAGGGCGTGGGAGTGCAGTCAGTCAGTCAGTCACTGAATGTCAACTGAGGGCAGCTCACATTTACAACTCTGGACTGAGGGTCACAGGCACTGCCTGGCTGCTGTACTCTGCCCAGTCCTCACCATCACCACCCTTATCTCACAGAGTTGGCCAGGGCAGACTCCAAGCCGTTAAGCCACTCCTGTTCATCTTACACACTTAATTGACTCTCATGCTCCTTGTGGACTTGGATTCTAGGATGGGGGCAGGGGGTGCTTCACAGGTGAGGAGGGGGATGCACCCCACAGCTCTAGCCTCTCCTTTGGAAAAGCCAGGTGTGAGACATTCCAGAAAGTAGTACGACCGTTTCCAGGGAAACAAGAGCGTTCATCAGCAAGGGACTAGCATAAAGGAATTCCGTCTCCCCCCACCCCACAAGCAGTAACATGCTGGGCCCAGCGCTGAGTCTCTTACAGGCTTATCGTTTTATTGGATCTAAGTGACCACACCAGGTAGGAATGTCAGAGAGAGAGGAAGTAACCCAGGCCACTGTCCCATCGCAAGGCACCCAGCGGGCTCAGGGTCAAGCATGAGTCTTTCGAAGGGGAGAGGGCGCCGCAGGGGACTCAGGTCTAGAGGATGGGAGCCCGGGCTGGGCTGCAGCTGGGGGACACGGGTCGTGGCCCGACAGGGCCCGGGCAGGGGTCCGGCTGGCGCGCGCACTTACCGGGGTGCAGGTGAGCGCGCAGTGCGCGTGCACGGACCAATGCCCCGAGAGAACGGTGAGCGCGTGCGCGAGGCAGATAGTGGCGAGCACCAGCAGCGCGGCCTCGGGGATCTGAGTCCAGCTGCTGCCCCAACCCCAGCAGCCGGCGGCCGCGGCGCCCAGCCAGGCTGGGTACAGCAGCCCCGCGAACGGCAGCACGGTGAGGCGCCGCAGCAGCGGCAGCCGCCGGTACGGCCACACGGCGGCGACTAGCTCGTCGCCGTTTGCTATGAGCGCCGGCCCGGCGGCAAGGAGCCCACGCGGCTGCAGCCCAGATTTAGGCTGCTCTCCGGGCCGGGTCCCATCAGACCGGGTCCCGCAGGACACCGCGTTGCCCACCGCCGCCATCTTTCCCAGAGCCGCGCTCGCTTCCGGGCAGAAGCACCGCCTCATTTCCGCGGTACTACTTCCGGTGAGCCCTGAGCGCCGCCATGGTAGGGAATAGGAAGCCCCTGGGCTGCAGGGCAAGCTGAACCCGGAAGTGTTTACTCCGGGCGCCGCCATGACGGGCTGTGGCCGGAAGGAAAGGCAGGGCGCGGCCATGACAGAAAGGGTTAGGTCGGCTTGCTTATGCTGCCACGCCGGACTATGACCGGAAAAGACTAGGCAGGCCAGACCGGCTGTGCGCCACCATGACAACCTGAACCGGAAGAGATGAGCTGGGCTCCGTGACGGCACTGGCACCTGCCAGTCACGAGAAGGCGGGGCCTGCTGCGAGGGCGGGGCTTACGGGGGCTCGCTCTTGGGAGTTCCCGGGCACGGATGAGACTGGCAGCCAAGCAGAGCACAGTCATGCTTGCTAAAAACCTTTACGTAAGAAATACACACATAAAAAAAGGCAAAAGTGGAGATTTTAGGCCCCAGGGCCAGCCTCCTGGGTTTCATAGGGCAGCTCTGGCCACTTGCACCAGACATCGAATAAAGAGGGCAGTAACAGCGGGGTGCCAGTAGCTCACCGCTGTAATCCCAGCTACTTGGGAGGCTGAGAGCGGGAGGATCGACGTTTGAGGCCAGCCCTGGCAAACTGTTCTCAAGACCCTATTTCCAAAATAACCAGAGTCGAATGGACTGGAAGCATGGCTCAAGTCATAAGAGCACCTGCTTTGTAAGTGTGAAGCCCTGAATTCAAACCCCAGTCCCACCAAAGAAACCAACCAACCAACCAAAAAAAAATCCATCCCGCCACAACAAAAAGGAGGTCAGAGAAAGGAGGTTTGTCAGAGGAAAGGTGTGAGTTTTAATCCGCCTCCGCCCCCCACCCCGCCCCCAGACATTTGCTTTAGGTTTAAATGGGACGGAGCATCGTTATCAAGCAGTCCCGGGTTGTTCTGGTGGTCCTGGGGGAGCCACACCTGCTCTGGAAGCTGGCTGGCTGAGGACTGGGCAGGGGGCCCTGTGACAGACAACAGGAGCCTTTAAGGGGCTGCCTGGTAGGCGGTCTTGGAAACCGGAGTTTTGGACCCAAGGCCCAAATTCCGCCAGGTTTGGCCACTTGCCCCTCAACGCCAAGTAAGGAGGCATGGTGAAGGAAAGGAGATTTGTTACATGGCTCGGGACACACTGTGGGAAGAGGCAGGGTAAGTCTTCAGCCCATCTTCAGCCTTGTTCAGACATGAGCGATAGGTTTAAACAGACAAGGAACTGGGGGGAGGGGACAAGGCATAGCTCTGTGAGGCCAGTTTCACCCTGACTCCAAAGCCACACAGCGTCCCGACAGTTCTTGACAAAGTACTGGCAATGAGAAGGAGCAGACTATTAGCAGGAGTATAAATGTACTTATTTGCAGAATGCGAGTGTGACAGTCCCATGACATCTTAGGAATGTGAAGTCCCTGCCAGCTGGGAGAAGCAGAGGAACCAGCTCAGCCAGAGGACCAGGAGGTATGGGAGACCCGTGTGTGCACCAGCAGTGGACCTATAGGACTCCACTAGGGTGGAAGTCTTATCTCCACTCCAATGCTCAGGGGGCACCCGGTTTCCAGACCCTGCTGTGCATCTCTCTGCTCAGCCTTTCTGTATCAATAAAGTTTGTTTCCTGCCTGTAACTCCCATGCTCCAGCTAGAACCCTTTAGAGCATCCGTGGATTCCCCCATGACATCTTGCGCCTGTGACATGAGGATAGTTTAACATAAAACTAGTCACGGTGTTACACCACGTTAAAAGAACAAAGGGAGAGTCAGGGGCTAGTAGCTCACACTGTAATCCCAGCTACTTGGGAGGCTGTGCAGGAGGATCATAGCTTGAGGCCAGCCCAGGCAAATAGTCCTCAAGACCCCGCCTCCAAAATAACCAGAGCTGCTTTGCAAGTGTGAAGCCCTGAGTTCAAACTCTAGGCCCACCAAAACCAAACCAAAACAAAAAGCAATTGAGAACCTGGAGGAGGCAGGCTTTATAATTTGAGACTTCCAAGTAGGAAGTTTAAATTCTTAATTGTGAAGACTCACTCCTGTAACCCCAGCACTCAGGATGCTGAGGCAGGAGGATCGTGAGTTTGAGGTCAGCCTGGGATACATAGCAAGTCTGAGGCCAGCTTGGGCTGCATAGAGACACCACCGTCTCAGAAAACAAAACCAAAATAAGAAAAATCTTAATTGTGGTTTAGACTTGCATTTGCCAAATAAATATTTGTTGATGATTTGCTTTTTTTGCCCTTGATGTATATTTTGCATTTGCTTGCTTTCAGATCATTCATTTCTGAGATTTTTTTTGAAGCGGGAGTGTTATCATGTAGCCCCGGGTAGTCTAGAACTTGCCATCCTCCTGTCTCAGCCTCCCCGTTGCTGGGACTGCAGCTGTGTGCCACCACACTAAATGCTTCACTAGCCATCTGTGTCTTTCATCTGCTAACCTGTGACACTTACACTTTCCTTAGCAGTATCTTCAGAAAGGCAGGAGTTATTAATTTTGCGGAGCTTGATTTAACATTTTCGAGTTGGTCTTGCATTTTTGTCATATCGATGATTTGTTGGGGTACTGGGGATTGACCCTCGGGCCTCATTCATGCACACTCTACCGCTGAGCTAAACCTTAGGCCCATGTCTATGAACTTTTTACCTATTGTGAGGAAAAAAAAATGTTGAATAGTTTCACTCAAGTGTTCTTTGTGACTATGAAATCTTAGATGTTATGTTTAGGTCTGTGATCCACATTGAGAAAATATTTCTGTATGGCACCCAGGAGTAGCCCACATTCTTTATTTTTGCATGTGCATATTCTGTTAACATTGTTTGCTGTACATACAGAGTTTTCTACCAAATTGTCTGCTTCTATAAAACTCACTCAACCACGTGTGTGAATTTTATTTCTGGGCTTATTTTTTTTGTGTTCAGTTGATGCATTTGTCTGTTTTTGAGGCAAAGACACACTGCATTGATTGTTACAGCTTAAAGAATCTCAAATCAGGCAATGCTGCAACCTCTGAGCTTTTCTTCTTTGTTCAGAACTGTTTGAGGGCTCCAGGTCTTGTCATATTAATTTTTAACCTTTTTCCTTCTTTTTTCTCAGTAATTTTTAAAATTAGCATGCACTAATAGTACAGAGGGGTTCTATTGTGATCATTCATGGATGCATGTGGTGTTCTGTGGATAAGTTCACCTCTGTATTTTATTCTCCTTCTCTACTTCCCCTTCTTCAAACAATACTTGGAGGGTTTCACTGTGGTATCTTCGTGTTTGTATGCGTGATGTAATTCAATTCTCTTCACCCTCCCCTCTAGTACCTTCGCCTTTCCCTCTTCCTCCCACCTGATTCCCCAAAAAAGCTCCCCTTTCCACTTATATCCCATTATCCTGAACACTGTCACTGTCGTTGTCACTGTTTTAGGTCTACATCCGCAGATGATGCACAGTATTTTGGCTTTTTTGAACTTGGCTTATCTTGCTCAATTTGATGATCTCCAGTTCCATCCATTTTCCTGAAAATGACCTAATTTCATTCTTCATTATGACTGAATGACATCTTGTTTTATCTGTATCTCCATCTATCACATTTTCTTAAATCAGTCATTGACTGTCGGGTGCCCAGGCTGATTGCACAGCCTGGCTATTGTGAATGGTGACGCCATAAGCGAGCGTGTGCAGGGCGCCAGGGATTTCAGGGAGCCCCTCAGAGAGTGAGCAGAGGGCTCTCTCATGGCCGAAGGCTTGAAACACTTTCTAGATATGGTCATATCATCCAGTAGGCAGGGTGTGCCTCTTTTGCTTTCTTCCAAATGGGAAATGCAGATTTGAGCCAGGAAAAAAAAAAAGGCAAACACACTAAGGTACTCTGTAGACAAACCTTCTTTTCCTTGCATGACCCAAAGGTTTTATGCAAAAAAGTGTCATGTAGATGAAGCCCTATTAGTAGTATTAGAGCAAGGACTCCCTATGTTGTGAGAGGCCCTTTGGCCTCTGGGGACCCAAATGAAAGAGAAAAGGAAATTCCCATTTGTTTGTTTTGTGTTTATGTGTACTGTTTGACATGGCCTTCTACTCCATCTCAAAGCCCTTTGTGAAAATCTTATAGTTGACCTATTAAGAAAATAAACATAGGCTGGGCACTGGTGGCTCATGCCTGTAATCGCAGCTATTCAGGAGGCAGGGATCAGGAGGATTGCGGTTTGATGCCAGCCCAGGGAAATAGTTCTCGAGACCCTATCTCAAAAAACTCTTCACAAAAAAAGGGCTGGTGGAGTGGCTCAAGGTGTAGGCCCTGAGTTCAAACCCCAGTACCTCAAAAAAGAAAAAAGCAGAAAGCCGGAGGAGACCAATAGGCTAAGACTACTGTGAGGGGTCTCTCTGTCCACACTGTTCCCACCCAAAGGTCAGACTTGTGCCACTGGTCAGCAGTCTTTCAATCCAGGTCTGGAGACCTGTTCAGGTCTCTGAGGAAGGGGGCAAGAGAGAGAAAATGCCACAGCTGGGCCATCATGTCTCCTCCCTTTTGTGTACTGAGCTAGTCAAGCACTAAGCATTGGTCAAAGCATGTCTCGGGAGGGGGAGTGTCTAGCTCACAGGCTTGAAGCCCTGAGTTCAAACCCCAGTACTGCTAGAAACAAAGTACTTGTAATTTGGTGGGCTAGGGGCATGGCTCAAGTGGCAGAGTACCTGCCTAGCAAGCCCAAAGTCCTGAGTTCAAACCCCAGTACCACATCCCCTCCCCGCCAAAAGGAATGCATTGGGCAAAAACATAATCTCCTGGACTTCCAGAGAACAACTGACCAGCTAACTGTGGTCATTTGATATATTTGCTTTTGGCTCATTTAATTTTTATGCACCCTTAAATCAACATTATTTTTGGTGGCACTGGGGTTTGAACTCAGGGCCTCATGCTTGCTGGGCAGGTGCTCTTACCACTTAAGCCACTCTGCCAGTCCCATTAAATGGACATTTTTGGCATGCCTAATTTAAAACCATTTTGTGGCTATGTGTATGTGTGTCTGCTAGAATGTCT